CCTCAGTCGGACGTTACAAGGTCTATCCTGCCATATTGGTCTTAAATAATTGACCCGCTAACTCGGTGCGTGCCTCAGTAGGATTGAGTTGCGCGCTAGCACCACCAAAGAGTGCAGAAGAATTGCAACTGACCTCCATAATTAGTCGATGAGTGACTGCACCACAGAGTTAGGCCGTGAAATAATAACACACACACACACAGACAAAAACTATTCATCAAATTTAATAAGAACGAACTACTGCACGCAAAATTTGCATAAAGCACACATGAAATTTGCATAAAAAACTGCAGCAAATCATGGATTCAGTATCTATTCTCATGCACTTTTGCACTTATGCAAATGAAAACTCATTATAATACGATCAACGCAAATGAAAACTCATCATAATATGTGTGCTTCCATGTTTGTCTCTGTATTTTAGTCTCTGGTCGTGGATGCGTTTGCGTGTGTGTGTGTGTGTGTGTGTGTGTGTGTGTGTATATGTATGTATGTATGTGTGTATGTATGTATATATTTGTGTATGCATTTACGTATATATATGTGTGTTAATGTGAGTGTTTGCGTGTGCTTTTGTTTTTGGGTTGGTGTATGTGTGTGTGTTTGTTAATGTAAGTGTTTGTGAGTGTACTTGTGTGTGTACGTGTCTGTTAGTGTAAGTGTGTGTGTGTGTGTGCTTTTGTTTGTAGGTTGGTATATGTGTGCGTATGTGTTTTGTGTTTGTATGCGAACGTATGTGTTGATTTGTTCACATACATACATACATATACACGTACCTGCAAACCCACACACGCACATACACGAACGCATACATTCACACGCACGCACTCGCTCACATAAGCATTCGTTCATACGTGCATACACGCAAACACACACATGCATATACACGCATACGTAACTACATGCACATACTCAGGGACACGGATCTATCCACATACACGCAAAAACGCATGCACACACTCACACACGCATATATACCTGCACAGACACGTACGTACACGCACAAAAACGCACACACACGTTCATGCACCAGCGCACATCAGTTTGTTTGTACGTAGTTTTTGGAAGACGTACTGTCAGGTGAGCGCACTAATAACTCCGAAACTGGAAAATTTAATTGGTATCTGCTGCATGCTTGGTGTCGAAATTATAACTTTTTCACGCTGAAATTTATAAATTTATAACGATGTGAAAGTCTGGGTCAATTTCTTTACCGCATTCATTTTCTACAAAAGGCAAGGGCACTCGAGCCCGATACTGGTGGCAATGATGCATTGCCAAGGCTGTCTATAGCTTGTCCTTCCGAGGCTTGCTAAGCAGCAAGCCAATGGCGCCAAATTTATTGTCGAAAGGGATACATGAATTGTAGAAGTTCAGGACGAAATGAGCCGCAAACATGTAAGCATTTATCTGTCATTAGA